TGCATCTCAGTGAGCAGAAACAGAAATTCAGCTATTTCTAACAGGGAGTAAAAGGTAAAAATGTGACAACCTTTGGAATTCCTAAACATCCCCATTTACTTTTATTGGACCCATATGAGCAAATATCTGAAAATAACCTTTCATTTTGTGATTCATGATGAAATAGCTTCATGTAAGCACCTGTCAGAACTGCACCTGTCACATAGTCCATTTTGTTATGTCATCTTTTGTAACATTGCCATCATCTGTGCACAATTTGACACTTGAAATTTTGCCTTTTGGAAGTGTTTCCTGAAATAATTTCAAACTTAAAAAAGACAAATTTAGCCTTTCATAGATGTCTGCGTGCGTTTCTTTAGTACCTGAGGTTGAATAGTATTGTCATACTTTCTAAAATGAACCGAGCCAAATGTGCAGCATTGGCAGTTTTATGACAACTCTCCACACAGGTTTGGTGTGAACATGTTCTTGGAAGAACTTTGTCATGTATTCTGTGAAAATACACTGTGGGCGAGAGATGATGAAACAGATGAGCTGCTGGTGGATTTCTGCAGGAATCGATGTGCTTTTGCCTCTAGTTTCCAATCGATGGCTGATGTGGAAGTTGTTCAGTCAAACATGTACCCAGGGGTTTGTTTGACAACAAGCTGACCTATGCAGCCAAGAATAATGTGCTGAAAAGAAGTGAGGGAGAAGGCTTTCTGTTCCCGAGGTCATTTATACGTCTCAATGTATGCAATAGACTTCTGCTCATGTTCTGTCACACTGCTATGGTATGTTTTAATTTATGCTGCTGTGTGCAAGTCGAAGGTCACAATGAGGTGAAGGGGGTAAGAACATTTTCCAAAGAAGGACAGAAGTTCTCATCAGCCTGTGCTGACAGCTGTCTAGACAGCAGACCTTCAGCTATTTAATTCTTTGCATCAATGAGCAAAGAGAGTGACAACTAAAAGTTTATTAAATTATCTCCAGCTGTAAAGAAAAGGCTAAATTCACAAAAGTAGCAGATTATACATGGGGAACATTCTGCAAAAGGACAGCAAAAACAGCTTATATTACAAGGGCGGAAATGGATAATTGTGTTTGCCTCTCTGTCTTTCGCTCTCTAAATAACAGATAGCCTAATTGCTGAGTCACTAATTGTTTAATCCACTAGTACCATTGCTGGTGCATTCTGGGAGGACGGGGAGCAAATGAGGTGAGGCGAAGACAAGGAGGCATAAAAGATTAATGTGAGATGACTCCTGCTGGATCTGGACATGCTTCCCTCAACCCACAGAGCTGTCTTTGCCACTGCATTAATGATCTAAATGACAGAAAAACTTAAATGAAGATGAGAGAGCCTGTTAGTGAGCCGCGACAGGGAGGGATAGAGAGACAAACAAAGAGAGGGAGCTACATCCAAACATGTTGACAAAGAGAAAATGTCAGATTAATGGAGAGGTATTGCTCTTTTCTTGGAGATGAATGGCACTGAGGAGATTAACAAGGTCTGCAGATCTGACTCTCTCGTACATCAGCAGTGTATCCCATTAGCATTATTGGCAAATAAGATTGCGGCTTTAAGTACAGATGCAGTGTTTAACACGTAATTTTCACCTAAATGTCAGCGTTTGTCTTTTGGTCAGGTGTTAATGCTGAACTTATAAAGGTGCTATGGAAGATTATAGCAGCAAAATACCATGAAAGCCTCAACCTTAAGACCTGTTTGCATTATCAGATTTGCTAAGCTAATCTGACTGTTACAAAGAAGCCAATGGAATAACTATCAACCCAATCGCCAGAAAAAATGTTGGCATTGTACATTTCTGCAAACCATGCATGTGAGGTACATTTGCACTTTATTATGTAGCAGATATGTTGAAAATATACCTTTCAACAATGCTGTGCTTAACATGTGGTCGGGTCAAAAATCACTTTCTTATAGTTCAGTCAGACAACTCATGTTTAAATGTGTATTTCAGAAGCAGAACATAGTTAGGGCCTGTCCCAATACCCCCCTTAGCCCTACCCCTTGGCCCTACCCCTTAGCCCTACCCCTATATTTGCGCGTTCCCGTGAGGGGTAGGGGTGTCCCAATTCCTTTTTGCATGTAGGGGTAGGGGGTATAATGAGGAGTAGGCTAGTGGGTATGAAACTAGCCCTCTGGAGCGAGGGATTTCAGATGCTGACTTGCCAGCGAGGGGTAGACGTCGCCATGGCTGCCACCGAGCAAGACATGGGGAAAAAAGTTCATACATAACTAACGTTACCGTCGTCACATTGCTTGTTAGCTAGCTAGCTAGCTCGCACTATCTGCCGTCTGTCATCTGTCCTGTTCTGCAAAATTGTCAGATTTTTCACATTACGATAACACGGCAGCTAGTATAACTATGCTGCCTCGTAATGTTAGCTGGTTAGCTGGCTAGCTAGCTAGCTAGTTGGCAGAAGTCCCCTGTCGTCTGTTGTTCATCAAACAAAGCATGCAGCAAACGTGACAGGTAGGATGAACTCAACCGGAGACTCCATTGTAGATGCCGGTTGGAAATGTTGATGGCTCGCAGCTTCCTGTTTAGAATAGTTACGTATGCGTGAACGTAAACAATGCGGTAATAGTGAGGGGTGTCCCAGTTCCTAGGGAAAGATTTCAACCCCTACCCCTTGTTGCTTCATTTCGAGGGCCAAGGGGTAGTGGGCAAGGGCTAGGGGTAGGGCCAAGGGCTAAGGGGTAGTGGACAAGGGGGGGTATTGAGATTGGGCCTTAGAGTTTGGCGTCTAGACTCAGGCCTCATCACTTCCCGCAGGTATGTTAACATGAGGTATTGGGAAGTGATGATGAAATCTTTTCCCCCTAGCCGGAGCCTGCAGGTGGATGCTGGGGTGGAGGTGGGGCTGAAAGAGCGAGCGGCAGTACTGATGCAGGGCAGCGGCATAGACAATGCAAAGGGAGAGCTGGGAAGATTTTGCAGCTTAAATAGACTGCCAAATTTGGAGGGTGTGTTTGTAGATGACATATGGGGAGTGACGTATGATGTGTGTGTATGAATCAGTGCAGCTCGAGTTGACTGCCTGAACTAGCTCGGGGCACAAACCCACCTGGTAAAGCAGCGATGTCTCCATAAGAGTGCCTTTTATGGCACTATCCCCACTGGAAAAACGGCAGCAAAAAAGCTGCTAGAAAAACATCCACTGGTCACAAAGAAACACCCACGTTTTGGGACTGAAAGCTTGCTGGAAACACAGCAATGACTCACCACATCACAACCTCTTTAGTTGTGCGTTGGTCTCCAACAGTGGTCTATTATAGTGTGCAGCTTAGCAGGCATCTCAGCCAGGTGACCACGATTACCTTCACCTACCAATGAGAAAGTCAGCTCATATACTACATTACTTTAGACAGGCATGATACAATGCCAACATTTTCTTCTGGTGACTGAGCTGATTTTATATAAGGGCACTTAGGGTCAGTTAATAGGTCAGGTAACATGATCATCAACATAAGAGTAAGACATAACATTCTTGTTGCTGCACAAGCAACTCCTGTTATCAGGATGTGTGCAGGGAGGGGTGAAGGGAATAGCAACAATACATCTCTTTAAGTCTACGGTGAAATGAATCCAACTACAGGTTAAACTAACTGTAAACTTATCGAAATGAAAGGTGATGTCAGAACTCAGAAGTGTCCTGGTACAGAAAATCACAAACTCAAGGCCATTCTGTTCTGCAGAAGCTCCACCCTGTCCATTATTTTTGGGGCACCTTGTTGTGTTTAAATGCTAATGTAGATGGCTGTATTAATTCAGAAAAATCTAGTATTAGGCAAAAGGTACATGTAATGTTTGTTCAGAGAATCATCTATTCACAGCAGCACCAACATATTCCTTAGACTGCAAGCCAAAGGCCTGTGTTGCTATTCTCAAACTGTTCACACTGTGTACATGTGCCAGTTTGATCCTCTAATCTGAACATGAGAGAATGTGTGTGCGCGTGTGTGTCTGTATATCAGGAAGGTATTCAAACACCTTCAAATATCAATCTACCTTTTACTTTTTATTTGCTTTTAAGGTTGGAAGTGTGTTTAACCTAGAAACAGGAGTGAACTTTGCAATCTGTCTATCGAAACAGAATACTCGCTCTAGTTTTATGTGTATAAAGTATATGAATACATTAGAAATTAGTGACAGTTAGTGATAAAATTAGCGCTTACCCATTTCAGAGCCTCAGCAGTGCTGTGGGTGTGACAATCTGATTGATTCCATAAAGACTTGTAACAGTTAAGTAGTATTTAGGGAACTTTTAAGAGCTGTGATAGACTGCAGGTAATTAGACAGAGTGTGGAGAACCCATGAAGGGATAGAAACCTGCATACATACACTAACTAGAAGGGCGCTTGGAGAGCAGACGCCCCCACAAGTGCCCTATCTTGCAATGTAAACAAAAGTGAAAAATAATTTGTGTATCTGCACCATCATGCGGCTCCGTTCAAACATTTAATGGGTTCCTTTTTGGGCTATGCTACACCCTTCCACCAAGTTTCATGAAAATCAGGCCAGTAGTTTGTCTGTAATCCTGCTGACAAACAAAGAAACTGAACCAAACCGAGAACACCTGGTGGAGGTAATAACACTATGGCCTGTGTCAGACATTTAGAAATGATCTTTTGAATAGTAGTAATGCTTTTGCACCACATATGTACTATTAATAGCAAGAAATACACAGGCGCTATTGACGTCACAAGCTTGTCTTTTTTTACATGAATTAATGCAGAGATAACCAAAACTGCTGCTCCATGTGAGATCACCAAAAAAAGCGTAACCTATGTTTATTACTTTACATTAAATAGTTTGGGGGTATCCTATATGACTCTTTATTAATCCAAAATACAAATATATCATTTAGTGAGAGCACATTAATTTGGACTGACAGCTGTGTAGTTCAACGCTGTGCTTCTGGATGTATGTGATAACCAGAGGTGCTGTTTATCCTCCCACAAACTGATGTTTTTTTTTCTCTGTTTGTAGGCACAGCTTTAATGAAGAAGCAGACCTGCTAACATTCTTGCAGAAGGGACCCTCTTCAACAAGTATGGGGTCACCATGGAAACCATTTCTCCTCCTGTCTATCATCAGTGGCCTTTCAGGTAAGAAATTCGAAAGGCATTGCAGGTGATAGTAAAAAAAATAGTTAAGAGGAATAATCTTCTTAAGCACTGATATTAGTCGAAATGGTACCATTCACACAGAAATGTACTGTAATGGCATGGCAATTGTAACTGTGACACAGCTGGGGCATCATCATTTATGGATCTGAGAGGTGTCTTGTGTCGTGTGACATTTGGAGAAAGAGGAATCCACGTCTTTCAAATTATGAATTTTGCATTTAAATCTGAGTGAAAGTGACAATGCCATGGTTCATTGAGTGTTTCTTTTCTGCCAGGATTCTGAGTCTCAGATATTTGATAGGTTTCTCCACACCTTTTCAGTGAAGGTCTGCAGTGGCTGTAAAGAGCAGCTGCTTTCCAATGAAACATCAGCAAGTGACAAGGCCACATTACTACTGTAGTTTTACAGTCCTGACAAAACATCATTTGAGAAGCAGGGATGATTAGCCTGACAAAATAAATAAATACTTGATAAATACTGCATTACTTAAAAATCATTAAAGGGATAGGCCTACTTTAATTATGAGCTATGGTAAACTTCCTTCCATCTTACCAGGGCCCAGATCTTTCTCCCAGCTCAAACTAGGCAGTGCTGCTCAAAAAATATACCAAAATTCTCTGACTGTATTGCCTATTTCTCACCTAAAATGTCGTCAGAAATAAATTTTAGTGTACATTTTAACTATAATACAATAGTTTGTAAACAAGAGGTGGGTGCCATATTGTTTCCTGTATTGTAAAAAAAGAGGCTGAAAAACCTGAGATCAAACGATAAAACGAGGCAGCGCTGATCAAATTGTTTTCAGAAACATATGTTATCTTATTGTTAAACTGTAATCCAAGATCAGTTGTTGCCAGCCAGCCGCCATATTGTTTCCTTTGTCAAAATGGCCAAGATCGCATTACGTTACCCATCAGCAGGAGCATTGATTGGTCCAATTGTTGTAGGTTTCCTACTTCCTGAGCAACAGCAAATACAGCAGCCCTTTTCCTGTATTTTCTCTGGTCATGTTGCACCAATGTCTTCCTACTGCATAGGAATGGAGTATTTAAAAGCCCATCTTACCAGGAGTAAAGTGCTTCTTGAAGTATCTTTAGTAAGTGCTTCAGCTGACCAGTAGGAATCAGAATCTCAACATGGCAGGGCTGTGCTCCATCCATCGAGTTGGATTCTCTTATAGAAAATCTTTACTGGTGCGTTTAGCAATGAATTCACAATTTTAAGTTCCAGATCAAGTGTCTCCCTTGGTCAGTCTGGAGCATGTGTTTTCCTGTCTAATGGACTCTGCCCCTTTAATGGTTCTTTCAACCCACCCAAGGAGGGTTCATGCACTCTGTGGCTCTCTCCGAGCTTCGTTTCTGGGTGTCAACCACACTATGCTGACCTCACCCGTCAGCTCGTTAAACCATGCCATTAAATGGGAACAACTGTTTCTCTACTTTTAAGCCTTGTCTCTAGGGAGTGGTAGATTCTGAATGAATTGTGTACGTTTTTAGAGGAGAAAGACTGCATTTCTATATGTGTATGTTGGGTATGATGCTTTGGTTCAGCACGTAATAAACACTACAAATACAGAGGAGTTAACAAGGTCCTTCCTTTCTATACTTAACATGGAAGAATATTGAAAGGTGACATTTTGCATGTCTGTAGTGTGCTGTGTTGTGTTGATGTGATTGTGAGCAGCAGCCTTGGCTCTGCTATAGCTTGTAAAATCATTTGAAGACAAAACCAGTATTAGGTGGAACCAAGGATATTCACCGTGACCCCAGTTCTCTGAAATCTCTTATGCCATGTTGTGCAGATTGCAATAATTAATTTCCATCTAAGTCTTCTGAATTTAGTTGGCATTTCAAAAGGCAATAATTATTTCCTCAAGAATTGTTTTGTAGGGAAATATGTGAAAATGACTTATTTTTTTGATTGTAGCCCATATGGTGTTTTACATTCAACAGAGTGGAAATGGGCTTTTTTCATTCTCATACTTGATGCCTTATTTGTCGTACACTGCTGCAGCTTGCACCATTGGGTAGTAACAATGCACTTTACAAAAGCAACAATGCAGTAAACGCATCTTTTTTGTAATTGTTTCCAATAAGAGTGACCCTACTGTACAGGAACCAGTGAAGGGGAGTGGGGAAACTTTTCAACCAGCTGTGTGTCATCGCATTGTGCACAGATGAACGTTGTTTGACTTCCCCCAGAGATCCCTGCTTGTCCGGCGGCGGAGGTGCGGGTGCTGGCAGCAGCACAGGGGCGAGGCCAAACACTGTTCATCTGCACACACTGTGATGCCACCCAGCTGGTTCAATATCAGCAAAGTTTCCCTTTATATTCATTGTCTTCTGTGGCGATCAGCAGTGATGTGGTGGTTCACTTTTACACTGTGATCTGTAGGCTTCAGCTTCAATCTTTATTTTGTTACCTTGATTTTGTTGCTGTGTCAGTCTGACATCCTGAATATACCCTTCAAATGCGTATTGTAGACCCTTCTGTCTGCTTCTGTCTGTTTGTTTTTCCAAAAATTTGAGAGTATTTCTCCAGGGAGTGCAGTTAGCGACAGCGGGATGGCCATGCCAGTCTAGCTCCGAAACCGAAAGTTTGTCGGACTAAGCAACAGTAACTAAGGGGGGGGGGGGGGGGGGGCTTAGCGAAGTGTGACTTAGGCCCAATGATTGACGACAGACTGTCGAACTGTCCCCAACTCATGTGACCAATGTGCTTTTTGTAGGGCTGGGTGATATGGCCTAAAAAAAAATCCGATTCAAGATTTAAATCGATTTTTTCCCCTTCTAGTTAAAAAAAAAATTGCAGCCTGGTAGCACATACCTGGGGTCCAAAACTTTCAGCATGTGAATAAACCCCAGCTTTTCCATGGTAGCCTATATATGGGCACCATATCTCTTGCAATATACATGGCAACTGCATCTGTGAACGCTTTCCACCGGACCCCTTTCTTATCATAGGCCTAAGGCAGTGTTTCCCCTACCATCATAATGGATCACAAAAGAAGTCATTTAAGGTTACCTTTCCTATAGAACAGGTCTATACTTTGTCCTTTTATTAAACAAACTAAATAGCCTTATGTTACAGGCTGAGCCTGATGTGTGTGGCTTGTGTGTGTGTGTATGTGTGTAGTTGATGCAGGAGGTATGAGACGTTAGCGCGCCGGGTGTGGTGTGACGTCAGACGGATGCGCCCCAGGAAGAAAGTGAGGCATGTGCTATGTTGTTTACATCCAGCAGCTACAGTGAAGAAGCCTACGCAGTTCTGCATGCTGTTTTTGAGTTATTTCTCTCTATGTAAATGTCAGACACTGATGACAGAGGCTGTGCATCATCCCTGCAGTGCTGAAAATAAAGTGCTGTTCTTTAACGCAGACGAAGTCCCGTTGTTTATGTGTTGTTGCCACAACCAGCTAACACACGCTAAAGGAGCTAATGGTCTTCGGAGGTCTACTAACTGTTTGGGGGTCTGCCAGCTTGGCGGTAGTAACACTTATTTATCTTATTTACACAACGACATGTCATTTCTGTCCCTACACGGTGCGCGTCTAAAATCCTCCTCTGCTCTCTGTGTCGCGCACGGCGGAGTTCGGCCCTGATGCACACAGACACAGGTGAGCACACAAAAGCGCCGAAGAACTTGTTCCCTTTCTTGAGAACGAGTTCTTCCCCACTCAGTGCCATGTTGTTTGTGTGTCAACCGCGCGCGGGGGGGGGAGCCCACTCTGAACTACGGGAGCCCAGCGTGGAGCGGCGGTGGGCGGATTTTAAAAAAAACTAGATTTTCATTAAAACAAATCGGCCTAAACTACAAATTCGAATTAATCGATAAAATCGATTTATCGCCCAGCCCTAGCTTTTTGGGAACAGCCTCTTACCCTCAAACAGAACCAGAGCAAGTGCCCTCTACCTGTCCATTTTTCATGCAGATTTTAAAGTACAGATCTGTGAGTTTCCTTCACAGCAAAATAGCAGTTAAGCTAAGGATGGGTGGTTTGTTGTTCACCTAGCAACTCTTTTAAAAAAACAGCACAGTGTCTGATTGGGGCAGGCTTTAACAACAGCAAAAAAAAGGTAAATCAGTGCACCTCTTGTTTTGCAACCTGCAAAATGCACTCTGTCTGTTTGGGGCCTAAGGCTTCTAACAGTGACAGATGGAGATAGCCACTTACATAAAGGCTGTCAGTGTGAAAGCCAATTCAGCATTATAGTACACTGCAGTACTGTATATATATTCTTCCTAAATGTACGCTTAAGGTGAGACAGGCCTGGGACTTTATTTGCATAAGCACTTTAAATGTTGTTGTCATCGAATCAAAAGCATTTGAAACAGTTGTCTTTAAAGTGTAAATCTTGCCTCCCTATGGAGTTAGTGAAAGTGATTCGGGAGAGGCATGGGGATGTGTAGGAGAAATGGTGAGGCTACCTGAGGATATCTTTATAGATATCTTGGACCTCACTGACAAAACAAGAAGCTTAACCAAAGAAATTGCTTTATCAACCCTGCTCTCACCACTGTATTCCATCTCCACGCTGTTTACTATACTGCAGTGTCATATCTTGCTTATGTCACCCCTGCATGCGAGGCTCATCTGGCTTCAGAGATACAGCAGGGAATAAGACAGTGTGGAGGATATTAGCACACTTAAGTAAACTGCAGCACTGACAATTTAACTTCTGGGTCCTGTGCGGTTCTTGAAGCAGATCAAGGCATGATGGAGTAAAATTAAACCTCTCAAGGGAAAACGAAAGTCGCCTTCATTTTCTGGTTGTCACGTACTGTGCATCCACCCTCGCCAAGTTCCAAGTTTAAGGAAATGTAAGAAAAGCTATTTTCATTTTTTGATCTTCATTTTTGATTTCAAAAAAAGATTAAAGGTTTTGACTAAATTATGTGTTTAAAAAAAAGGATTCAGTCCAAGTCAGATTGAAGAATGACTCAGAACGATACACAGTCAAAGACAACAGAAAGAGAA